GTTGTTTCATTTTCATTATCGTCCCATTCTTCGTCATAAAATGATTCATTTTCCTCATTCTCGGATATTTCTTCCTCAACATTCATTATCTCATCATCAGATACTTCTTCTAATATGTGTTGAGGATGTTGTATCGTGGTTTCCAATTCAACATCAACTTGTTGTTGAACAATTGCAACATCATTTTGATACGCCACATCTAAGACATTATCAATTTCAATTATTCCCACAGGCTTACTTTTTATAACAACCCACTAATCAACTTTGTCTCTACGCAATGGATATGGAGCGTAATACACTTGTTTAGCATTTTGTGCAATAATAAAATGATCATAGCATTTATCATTAGTCTTTGTTGGTGTTATCATTGATATGATACATCACTGCTACAATAACCTTTGTTTTATGTAATGTATAATGTTCATATTTAAGGTATTGATACATAACTTTAATATGTTATTGAATCTTCTATTAGTGTTTATCATGTTCAATATAAATGTACTTGATACATATGTTATGCCGTAATTTTCCTATCTTTTAAAAAATCACTTTTTGAAATGTTCTAAGTATAAAATAATTTGAGAAGAATACTTAGAAAAGAGTCGCCACTTAATTTTTTAAAGAAATTAATAAAACTTAATTTAAAAAGGGTTTAACAGATAAACCTTTAGAAATTTAGAGAAAATGGGTAAGAAGTTCTTATTTCTACTCTAAAAGGTATTAACACTTAAAGTAGCCGCTAACATGCGGTTGTCCTACCACTTGACTAAAATAATTTTTGACTAATTCTTTGGGAAAATGATTTAACATAGAAAATGATAAGTGAGAGAGGCGAGTGAGAGAGCGAGATCTGGGAGAGTGGCGAGCGAGATCTGGGAGAGGGGAGAGAGGGAAACGAAAATATATGTACATATACAATTTTTTCTCGCTTTATACAAACACAAACGCATTTTATACAATTTTCATTTTTTGTATAAAGTGAGAGAGGCGAGTGAGAGAGCGAGATCTGGGAAGGTGGCGAGCTAGATCTGGGAGAGGGAAACGAAAATATATGTATATATATAATTTTCTCTCGCTTTATACAAACACAAACGTACTTTATACACTTGCGTTTGTATAAAAAATGAGAGAGGCGAGGGAGAGAATGAGAGTGGCGAGCGAGATTCACCAGGAGAGAGGTGAAGTAGTAACAGTTTGCTATGAGGTACAATTAAATCAAACTATATTTATAGCATTTAATTTGAATTAATAGTTTGTTATTATATACAATTTTCCCTTAAAAGATTGTGTTAGAAGACTTTACACACATGCTTATCACTCCTGGAGCGAGATTCCAAACAATATACTCCAGACGATGTTTAATGAATTTAAAGTATATATTTTTTAGTTAAGTTTAATAATTTTAGTATACTTTACTTATGTTTTACTATCGATCTAATTAACGATATTCAATTTTTTTCCAGACTATGTGTACTTGGAAGTCGAGGTACACTTTGGTCATTGCGACCACATTTGAGAGGAGGGCATCCACGAGACTGCTAGCTGGCTAAAGAAAGTTTGGGACTCTGATCAACGTTCGGGTTGGATGTTGCCTCATGTTTTTGATGATTTGCGTGCATATATATTGGAACACATAAAAGTTTAAGGCAATTTCCGAACAAACCAAAAAGGCTAGAGGCAATCTTAAGGGTGACTCGTTGTACACCGGAGGTGCAAAGACAGTTGGAACAATTACAAGAGAGATGGTAAGTTCTAATTCAAACTTTTAAATAAATAATTAGTTTATTCATATATATATATATATCGTTATAAATTCAGTTTTTATTTATAGGAAAAAGAATTGGGGCGCACTCCCATTGAACTGGAGGTTTTCAAGAAGACTCATGTGAAGAAGAAAGAAAATGAATCGGATCCAGATGTGTGGATCAAGGAAAGGGCCGAACGAACTTTTGTAAGTTATTTAATATGAATAATATATATTAATAGTGAATATATTTATGATATGTATATATATTGATGTCAATTTTTATATTTAATATGCAGAATGAGTTTCATTAGTACGTTGCTGAGAATCTGGATAGTTCGGTCGAAATGACACTTAAATTGTCCACCCAAATTTGGACAGAGAAAGTGGTAGATGGGACACACAAGGGTAGAGTCTATGGTCGAGGCTCTCAAAGCAATGTAAGAAGACTCCAATCGGGCTTAGAAGGCATTGGATCGTCACGTCAAGCCGAGGCACTTGACGGTGTTCAGATTGCTGCTATGTCGGTTCAAATAGCACATCTTACATCGACACTGGTAGAGTTGGAGCAGAGAAGAGTAGCTGAACAACAAAGCATGAGTGAGACAATTTAGCAAATTAAAGAACAGGTGATGAACCTCACTCGTCAACCTACTACTTTGGCGCTCGAAGACACCGACGACGACATTGAGGAGGAGGAGGACGATTTTGTAGATGCCACTCCCTAGTTTAGGTCTTTTTTTAAACACATTTTGAAACACTTTATAAGTTTTTGTATTGTGATTTCTTTACTTTTGAAGATTGATTTAAGTTTGATGTTGTATATGTTGTGTGTTTACATTATATTGTTTGTTGGACTGTTTGTATATGAATTGAATTGAATTGAATTGATTGGTTTATATTTGCAGGTGGGCAGCAGAAACTGCCTGTTTCTGCTGTCAAAAAGTTATAGAAAAAAGCGACGGACAGGGTGGTTTTGTCCGTCACTTTTTTGCATTATTTTTTTTTCAAATAAACTCAGAAAAGCGACAGAAAATATCCTTTAGTCCGATGCTTTTCTGGGTATTTTAAAAAATTAAATTCCAGAAAAGCGACGGACAGTGTCCTTTAGTTCGTCGTTTTTCTGGGATTTTTAAAATATAAATTTCCAGAAAAGCGACGGACAGTGTCCTTTAGTCCGTCGCTTTTCTGGGATTTTAAAAATATTAATTTCCAGAAAGTGACGGACTGCGTCGCTTATTGGAAATAAAAAATAAATGAAATTATAAAAGAAGCGACGCAGTCCGTCGCTTTTTAGCTACGTTGTCCGTCACTTTTTGAAAAGCGTCGACCCAAAAAGCGACGAACTTGACTGCGTTGCTTTCCCATCGATTTTGACCAAAAAAGCAACGCAATCCATCGTTTTTGACAGTTTTTTTAGTAGTGTGAAAATTAAACAGAAATAGAGAGGAGCGTGATCAATGTATTATAATTAGTAGAGCTGTCAATATGGGCTAGCCCATCCCATCCGAGCTAACTAACCTATACAGGCTTTGACATTTTACGGGTCAGGCCAAGCTAGCCCATTTTTGGTGTGGGCTAGAAAATGATTGGCCCAACCCATAAGTACGTGGGCTACAGGCTTGTCGGGCCAGCCCACTTTTTAAAAAGTTATATATTTTTTTATAATTATTAAATTAAATTATAAATTATAATTTAAAAATATTATCATAAATATCGACAAAACAATATTACATGATGTTAATGTTACTACTTGTTAATTAAATCTACAAATAAAATTATCTTTATAATATTTATTAAGTTTTTTTTCATGAAGTAAAAGTATAAATATCTAAATAGAAATATTAATCTAATTGTTTTGCAATGATCACAATAAAACACAAAAAATATGACAATATTCCAACCATAAAAAAGTAAAAAATAAGCTCCTTACAAAATCATGAAACTTATGGCATATCTAACACTTCATGAAACCTATGGCGTATCTAATACTTCATGATCATCCTCATCAAGCATATCTGAATCAACTTGTGAGAAGATTGTCTGAACATCTTCATTTTCATCTGTAATTTATATGCGGTTTCAATTAGTTAAATATTAAAACATAACTAAATTGAGAATTATAATATTTAAATGTACACAAAAATATATTATCAGTTTGAGAAAAACCATGTAACCAGTTTCGAGTAGCAACAAGTGTTTGGACATTTTCATGGTGGATGCAACTTCTATACTTAGTGATTTTCTAAAAAACTTTAAATAGATTTTGAGTTTGGATCTCTTTAATTTTAAATTTTAATATTATATTATATTTTTAATTAATTTTTATCGTCCCATGGGCCTGCCCTACCTATATTTCTCAAGCCCCATCAATCAGCAGGCTTATTCAGGCCGGGCTAAAAAGTTTTTTTCTTAAATGGGCCTCCAAAATTTTTAGCCCAACCTTATTAAATCCCAAGTTAGGCCAGGCCGGTCCAACAGGCCTAGCCCATATTGACGGCTCTAATAATTAGACAATACCTCCAATTTTCCAGTGGTTGTTGGCCTATTTCACTATTCCTTTCTTATCTTAAGCTTTAAATCACGTGTTGCAAATATTTGTATTGTAAATCAACCTACCCGATCACTCATCCATCACAAATTTCATTAGGTGAAGATAGATATTAATAAAATCTTTTTGGAGACATGCACGTCATATTTCCATAAATATATTTATAGCTATAGGCCAACTATCGAGCCTCTTAATTTCAACGAAATAAAATAATAAACTCAATTAAATTTAAATGACTCAAAATTATAACCATCACTAATAAAATATACAATATTTTTGAGACAATTTTTTATATTCATGAAATACATTAATTATATATATAATTATATAAAACATACATATTATTTAAAAATTATATAAAAAAAAATGACGAAACTATTTAAGATAACTTGCAAACTATATTTATTTTATTTTCTTGAAAATTTTATAAAACTAAATTTTTTAAATCATTTGAAAATTGGAGAAGCTCAAATGATTAATTTATATTGTGGAGGGTCAAAGTTGAGTGTCAACAACCATTCCTTTCTTATCTTAAACTTTAAATCACGTGTTGAAATATTTGTATTTTAAATCAACCTACCCGATCACTCATCCATCACAAATTTCATTAGGTGAAGATAGATATTAATAAAATCTTTTTGGAGTTATGCACGTCATATTTCCATAAATATATTTATAGATATAGGCCATATTATTTTTCTCAGACTCATTCCAAGTTTAAGATCTCCAATTATACAAAAAATATTCCTCAAATTATTGTACCATGGGTACTATGAAAATCAACCCAGAACATGAATTTGATGGTCAATTATCCATCAACCCAAGTAGTAGTAGACTTTTAGACCCAGAGGAGTTTAGAAGGCAAGGCCATATGATGGTTGATTTCCTTGCTGATTACTTCCAAAATATCGAAAAATATCCTGTTCGTAGTCAAGTTGAACCAGGTTATCTTAAAAAAATATTACCAGACTCCGCGCCATATAAACCTGAACCAATAGAAAAGATACTGGAAGATGTGGAAAGGGATATTTTTCCTGGGTTGACACATTGGCAAAGTCCAAATTTCTTTGCTTACTTCCCTTGTACTTCAAGCACTGCTGGGATTGTAGGTGAAATGTTAAGTGCTGGTCTTAATGTAGTTGGCTTTAGTTGGATAGCATCACCAGCTGCTACTGAACTAGAAAGTATTGTCATGGATTGGCTTGGGAAAATGATGAATCTTCCCAAGACATACCTTTTCTCTGGTGGGCATGGTGGTGGAGGTGTTATACAAGGTACGTACATACATACATACGTATAGTATTAATTGTTTAACGATATATATAAATATTTAATTTTAACATTTTATTTTAATTACTACCGGCCAGGTACAACTTGTGAAGCTATGTTGTGCACTATTGTTGCTGCAAGAGAGCAAATGTTAGAAAAAGTTGGAAGAGAGAACATTGAGAAGCTAGTAGTTTATGCATCTGATCAAACTCATTCTTCTTTCGAAAAGGCTGTTAAGATTTCTGGGATTAAACTTGAAAATTTTCGAATTATTCCAACAACAAAGGATACTGAATTTGCTCTAGACCCAAAATCACTAAGTAGAACAATTGAACAAGATATAAAATCTGGATTTATACCCTTATTCATGTGTGCAACTATCGGAACTACTTCAACAACTGTCGTTGATCCATTGAAGCTACTTTGTGAAATTACAAAAGACTATGGAATTTGGGTACATGTCGATGCAGCCTATGCAGGAGGTGCATGCATTTGCCCGGAATTTCAACATTTTCTTGACGGTATTGAAAATGCAAACTCTTTCAGGTACGTAATGCTATATGTCTGTATTCACAAAAGTTTAAAAATCTGCAGGTTACATATATATATGTTTTATAATTTTCAGCTTTAATGCGCACAAATGGTTATTCTCCAATTTGGATTGTTGTTGCCTTTGGGTGAAAGATCCAAGTGCTCTTACAAATGCCTTGTCAACAAGGCCTGAATACTTAAGAAACAAAGCCACTGATACTGAACAAGTGGTTGATTACAAAGACTGGCAACTTTCTTTAAGTCGTAGATTCAGAGCGTTAAAGTTATGGCTTGTGTTACGAAGCTATGGGATTGACAATCTCAGAAATTTCATAAGAAGTCATGTCAAAATGGCTAAGCATTTTGAACAACTTGTATCCATTGATGAAAGATTTGAAATTGTGGCTCCTAGAAATTTCTCTATGGTGTGTTTTAGGGTTTCACCATTAGCATTGGGAAACAAACAAGTGAACAAGTTCAACATGGAGCTTTTAGAGTCAATTAATTCATGTGGTAATATACACATGACTCATGCTTTGGTTGGAGGTGTTTATATGATCCGTTTCGCCATTGCTGCACCTCTCACTGAGTATAAACATATTGACATGGCGTGGGAAGTCATTTGTAACCATGCGAATGCAATGTTAGACGTCAATTAATCGACAAAGATAGCTCAACCAGAACCTTAATTATCTTTACAGTGTATGTGTGTGGTTTGTCTTTTTCAGTTGTCATCAAGTGCATTATTGTTTCTACCTCTACTTATGTCAGAATTGTAATGTATGAATAATATATGTGGTGAATAATATTGGAAGGAGTTTTATATTACTACTTATTAGAAGTGAGAGTTGAGGTGTACCAACATTTGTTCGGCCTACTTTATTGTTACTCTTTTTATTTTTAATATTTATTTTTAATTTTAAAAGATTGGAAATTTTATGTTAAAAATTTAAATAATAGAAAAAATGATTTATTTAACTTTTATCATCATCAATACTACTAATTTATTTGACGTTTTTCATAATCTTCATCTCATCATTAATGTTATTTATATAATTTTCTTAAATCACTTATTTTTTCTTTTTTAACTCTTTTATATATATAAAAGTTGGATATGTAAATAATGATGTGACATTTCTTAGAAGCTAAGATTACTATTTATCTAATTTTTCCAATTTTTTTTTTAAAATTGAAGATATCATACGCAAATTTACGGTCAAACTTAAACTATTTGATTCTCGAGAAATAAAAAGTGTCACATAAAATGGGACAGACGAAGGATAACTCTCAATTAAATTTATTTCACTTTTTATTTTCCATTTTTAACATAATTTTTCAAGTTCGATTTCTATGAACATAAAAAATGTTCTTTCTTGATTTGTCAAAATGGACAAGTAATTAGAGACAACTATAAAAAGAAAAGTGAACAAGTAATTAGGGACAGAAGGAGTACTAAACAAATGCATCAGCAAATGAAATTTATATTCAAAATATATTGAATAATGACGTAATGATATCTTAATAGAATTTCCTATCCATTTAAAAAAAAAAAAGTTTCACCCTTTCAATTTCATTATATCTTCTTATTTAGTAGAAGAATCATCATTTATTATATTCTACTCCACCTTAATTTGTACCATCAGAGTTTTAAGAATAAACATTAAATTTTAAATCCAAATAAAAAATCATTGAAAAATGACAGAAAAAATAATAATAGTATATGAAAATTAAAATAAGGTGCAAGAAAAGCCTTTTCACGATAATTTTTTGAAATATATTGATAACAATTAAAATGAAGCTGTTATTTTATCTTTAAAATTAAGTTTGATTGAATTGAATTAGTACAATGAGAAAAAATATAAACTAATAACTTTTTAATGTTATTAAATGCATTTTCTTTTTAATTGAGTAGTAGATTAAAAGTTCCGAATTAGGATATTAAAATAATATCTTACTCTCTCCTTAATTATTATGGTATTGCAAACATTTATTTTCCTTAAATGGTGATTCATTTTCCATTTACAGTTATATCCAATTAATTTCTAATGTATTGAATGTGGTTATGGGATATTGAAATAATATCTTTATCTTTCCTTAATCATAATAAAATTATAATTTAACATTTATTTTTCTGAAATGATAATTTTGTTTTAATTCCTAGAACATATTGTTTACTATATTGAATGTAATTATAATAAAACATATTGTATTTAGTATGACAAAAGAACTCAAAAATTGGAGAAATTAGATAAATAGTAATCTTAGCTTCTAAGAAATGTCACATCATCATTTACATATCCAACTTTATATATATAAAAGAGTTAAAAAATAAGTGATTTAAGAAAATTGTATAAATAACATTAATGATGAGATGAAGATTAAGAAAAAACGTCAAATAAATTAGTAGTATTGATGATGATAAAAGTTAAATAAATCATTTTTTCTATTATTAAAATTTTTAACATAAAATTTCCAATCTTTTAAAATTAAAAATAAATGTTAAAAAAAATAAATCGAGGTAATAATTATTTTAAAGAAAAATATAACCAAAATTGTCAGAAAAAATTGATAAAAATAAATAAGTATCTATTACTAAGAATGGTGTCACTACATTTTATATTTTAACTTTATTGTTACATATGGATAGAAACTTTTAGAAGAAGAAATGATCCAAAAATTTAAAAATAATGATTCCTTAAATGGTGATTCCTTTTCCATTTACAGCTTTTCAATTAATTTTTAATGTATTATATATGGTTATGGATATTGGAATAATAATTTTATCTTTCCTTAATCATAATAAATTATATTTTAACCTTTGTTTTTGTGAAATGATAATTTTCTTTTCATTCGTACAACATATTGATTAATATATTAAATGTAATTATAATAAAACATGTTGTATTTAGTATGACAAAAGAATTCAAAATTTTTAAAAATTAAATAAATAGTAATCCTAACTTCTAAGAAATGTCACAAATATATATATATATATATATCTAAGAAAATGATATCAATTACATTAATGATGAAATGAAGATTAAGAAAAGAAGTAAAACAAATTAATAATAATATTGATGATGATAGGAGTTAAATAAATCATTTTTTATATTTTGTAAATTTTCAATATAAATTTTTCAGTCTTTTAAAATTACAAAATGCTAAAAAAATAAAACTAAAACTAAAAATCGAGGCAACAATTATTTTAAGGAAAAAATAACAAAAAATGTCAGAAGCATTGATAAGAATAAATAAGTATCTATTGCTAAGAAGGTGTCACCCCCACATTTTCTATTTTAGCTTTATTATTACGTATAGATAGAAACTTTAAGATGAAGAATGATCCAAAAATTTTAAAAATAACAAATCAATTATGTAAAAATTCATGTGTAATTCTTATAAAGTTACATTAACTAATTTCTTCAAATAAATAATTAAATGAAAGAAAAAAAAAGTAATTAAGAAAATAATAGAAATAACACTAATTATGAGATTAATAGCATTGATGAGGAAAGGAACTAAATATGATCATCTTTTTAAATTCTTTTTTAAGAAAATATATATAAACTTTAATTAAAGATAAATAAGAAAGAAATATTTAATTAAAGATACAAAAAATCAAAACAAAATAAAAGAAGAAAGAAATTAGAAGAATAATGAGGTTGAAAGAAATAATATCTAATTTTCTCTCTTTTCAAATCACAAAATAAATTTTTGCTTGTTCTCCTCCTAATTTGATACGAATTCCATAAATAGAATTATTTTTTCTCCAAATAATTTTTCTTACCCTTTGAAACACTAATCAACCTTCTTATAAATTTCTCAACCACAATGAATTTTCTTTCCTTGTAGGAGGAATAAACATTTTTTCATAAAGTCTTTTATTTTGAAAAGAATTTTTTGTTACATAATCTCTTTCTTTACATCAATGTCTTCACAAGAATCATGAGATATTCTCTCTTTCTCCTTTGTTAAAAAAGTCGCATGACCTAGAAATTTGATGGACATCTTAGCGACAGAAGTTGATACCATATATTGATCATCATCGTCAGAAGAAGAAGAGCCAAAGTGAAGAAATTTGTTCTTATTTGGTACAAATGCTCAGCTATATATATATTTTTTATATAGGCTAAATAATTATAAACAGTTATAAACAATGAATAGTTTTTATCTTTTCATCTTCCATTTTCATTTACTTAAATCTATATTAGTGTAATGGATGTTATAAAGGGCATAATTAATCGGGTATGACATAAATATTTTTTTTACAAAATACAAATAAAAAATACAAAACAAAGATAAAATGTCAAAAAAAGGAGAAAAAAGATGAATAGAAATACTGGTCATAGAGAGATGCCACATCAAATTGTCTATATTCAGCTTTATATATACATATATAGGTTCATGCCCTTAGATGTTATTTTATTACTTTAGCTGGCATCAACATTTTTGTAAATCTGATATCTACTTTGGAACATTTTATAATGTGGCATAGGCTGACAATTGAGATCATAAATTTAAAAATAATAAAATTTAATCTATTATAATACTAATATCAATATCATAAATATATATATATCATTTAAAAAATATATAAAAAGTATTATAAATTGTAATAATTAACCGCTTTATTTTTTTAAAATCATATAACTAATTTGATTTACACTCCAAAATTCATAGGTGTCACATAATTTACACATTAATTCTTCATTACTTAATATATGTAATTATATCAATGACATATAAATTGAAATAAAAAAATTACATATTTTATTTGAAAATCACGTAATAGTACTATAAGGTATAATAATTAACAACTTAACATATTTTAAAATTTTAGTTGACTCTCCAAATTCCATATGTCGCATGTAATTGAGACAGAGAAAAACATATATTGGTTTAAAATTAATAAAAATATTATAAATTATAATAATTAACAACTTAAAATTTATAAAAAAAATTCTTTAAAAAATTTTAGTTGCCTCTCCAAATTCAATCGGTATTACAATAATTAAAACATAAAAATTACATAGATTGAACTCCTGCTGACATTTATGTTTCCTTTTTAAATTTTTTTTCTTTTATACTTTAATTAATAGCTTAAAATATTTGAAAACATATAAAAAGTTTTTGTTAACTTTCAAAATTTCATCTATAGCGCATAAATTGGGAGAAATATAGATATATAGATAATTTAAGTTGCTAATTATTTTGAGTTATAGTACGTTTTATGTAATTTTCATATATATTACTCGCTTTGTCCTGATTTATGTGATACAAATAAAATTTCAAAAGTCAATGAATTTTTTATAAGTTTTTTTTATATTAACTTGTTAATTATTGTGATTTATAATATATTTACGTAAAACATACTCTAAATAAAAATAATTAGCAACTTAAAATATATAAAAACATACTAAAAAATTGATTAACTTCAAATTTCATATGTACCACATAAATTGAAACAGAAACAGTAACATATATTGGGCCCCGTGCTGGCACGGGACCCCTATCTAGTATATATATATATACTTCACTTTATTCTAGAGGCATCAACTTTCTAACTTGAATGCTAAATTATTATAATAGCCCCAACTAAAAGTATACGATGGCCAATTTAGTATATTCTCTATATTTATTTATATTTTATATTATATTAAAAACACCCATCTTTTCACATTGAAGAGTTGTTATTTTTTGAAGACTAAAAAATATATTTTTATTTGGGCTAAAAATTTATTCAATAATTTT